ACCCCTCTTCATTTATCTAAAAAAAGCTCTTTAGGTGATTTTGCTTAGCTGAGAATGAGTAAATAGGGCTCGTGAGTGTATATGTATCACAAATGCGGGGTCATTTGTGATACATGTAAGCAAAATATAACAGGAGAGTGTTTTTGTTTTGAAGAATGGTTAAGCTTTCCATGTGTCTTTTTCAGCCTTTGCTGTTATCACTATGTTTGGTGCGCTCAGCTTGGTGTCACTAATTTATTGTGAAGTAATTAGAAGTGCTTTGGACTCAGAAGTCAGATCTCACTTCCCTGGCTGGATTCCCTGTCAGCTTATCTCTGTTTCCTTATGTAAAATGGGAAAATAATATAACTGACTTCATGGGGTGGTTGTAAGGATTCAGTGAGTCATTGCGTGTAAGACACTTAGTGGTCTTAACTTGACATATCATAAGTGATTGATAAGTGTTTGCCGTTCATTCCTTCAGCAAAATATGTTTTGAGTATCTTTTATGTGCCAGTATCTGTGTTAGGTGTTGAAGACGTGGTGAGTAAATCATCCTTTCATTTTTATGGGAACCTTTACAAGGGGAGACAATGAGCGCATTGATTCTGTCTCTTATTAAAGATACTTCAAATCTATGAAACTTTGAAATACATATACATGGGAAATTCTTGGTTATCTATGTAGAGTAGCAGAAGTATGTATGTCATTTAGTTCTATTGAATCAGGAATTTCCTTTCCTTTTAACATCTAAATCAATGTCCACAACCTTTCTGGCACCAGGGACTAGTTTCGTGAAAGACAATTTTTCCACGCAGGGATAGTTGTGGGGAGATGAGAGGGTGGTTTCTGGACGACACTGTTCCACCTCAGATCGTCAGGCATTAGATTCTCCAAAGGAGCGTGCAACCTAGATCCCTCGCATGTGCAGTTCACAATAAAGGTTTGTGCTTCTATGAGAATCAGTGCCACTGGTCACCTGACAGGAGACGAGCTTAGGCAGTTTACCTCCCGCTGTGCAGCCAGGTTGCTATCAGGACACGGAGCAGTACCCGAGCAGTACCCGTCTGTGGCCTGGGGGTTGGGAACCCCTGCTCCAAATGAATCCTCCTCTAAGGCATCTCCACAACATTACTTCTTGAACTAAAGAATTGAGGTTTTAGTGTGTATGTAGGAAGTAGGACGATCATAAAATGTCACAATGAAGAATGAGCTAGCTTAGTTTTGATAATAATGGTTTTTTTTCCTGAGTACTTTATTGGATTATATTAAAATGACAAGATCATAAATATTAAAGTTGGAAATTATTTTAGTGATCGAGTCTTTCCTGAATGCTTTCTTTTTTGGACAGCCTTAGAGTTGAAATCTTCTTTCCAGAAACTATCACCTGTGGTCCTTAGGTTTTACCTTCAAAGTAAGACTAATCCTCTAGCAACCAAAGAGCTCTTCAGTGTTTGGAAAGTGCTTTTTTTGAGTGTCCCTTGCGTAGAGAGAGATTTGCATTAATTTTACTGGTTCTCATCATAGGATTTTAAGCTTTCTCTCTTGTAATTACCCTTTTCTGTGGATTCTTACTCATACTGATTGTTTTTTGTGTTTTTCTCATTTCTTAGTTGGGTACTGTTACTGGTAAATTTTCTCTTGGGTCATTGTGAAGAACTGAGGATAACAGTTCAGTGATGTTGAAAGAGTGAGATAATTATTTCTTTTACTTGGAGCACTGTATTCTATTGATAATACATAAAATTGCATTGGCTCTTTGGCAAGCATGTCAAGCCTGGTGTGCTGTTTGGTTACGTTATCCTTACTGATCCCTTTAGAATTCACTTTTGTTAGAGTTAAGACAGTTTTCAATATAGTTTGAACTGTAAAAACTTGTTTTAAAATATATTAATTTTTTTGTTGCTATTTTCTTCGTTACTGGAAATGAGGTTATTTTCACCTGGCTTCTTTATGAAACGGTGCTGGTACTAGTCACCAGTATTCTCTTTTGCATATGTAGGAATCAGCTGTTTAGGAATCACTTCTAGAATTTGTCTGAAGAACTGTGTTAAGCTCATATATATCTTCTAGTATCTCTTGTTTACTTTGATTTCAGTAGTGGTTCAGCAATCTCATTAGTAGGGGTTAGTATAAAGGAATCTAGGTAACCTAGATGAATTGGTAGATGTGTTTGTAATAACTATCAGTTTAGTTTATCCCTTCTTAATCATCTGGGTTTGTTCTGTTTTTTAAGTGTAAAAATGATTTTTCTTGGCAGAGAGGTATGTTGAATAAGCATTAGTTATTGACAAAAATCAACAATATTGGTCATTTATTGAGCACTTAGTAAGTATGTGGCAGACTCTGCAAAGAACTCTATACTGTGTCATTTTTAGTAGTGTCGGTAATGATATGAATAGTGCTATTTTGCAAATTAGAATCTAAGGCTTGAGAAGATTAAATAGCTTTCTCAAGGTCACAGCTAGTAAATGCTGGAGCTGGAACTCATACCCATACTTGTATGACTCATCAAGTCCATTTTTGTGCCTTTCAAGAAGTGGAGAGGTCTTTCATACAGGAATGTGTAGGTTGTGTACTTCTTTCATTTCATAGTATTGAAGGTCTGCCAGTCTTATTAGTTGGTGTTAATCCATTTTGAGCTCTTTTCTCTGCTGACTGCTTGCTCTCCTTTGGAGTTCCGTATCTTACTGGTGTAGTCTTTTTGGATCTATTCATAACACAGTTTTTACTGCATGTCTGTTGTCTATTACTAACCGGTTATTTTAATTATCAATTTAGTAATATGAAAATCATCTCCTTGTTATTAAAGTATACGCACAAGCTTTGAACTTCAACTAGGTTTAAATCTTGGCTCCACTACTTCCTAGATGTGTGACCGTTAGCCGTTTACTTAATTTCTCTCTGCCTCAGTTTTCTTATCTATAAAATGAGTATAACTGTACCTTTCCCCTAAGGTTGTTGTGAAAATTACATGATAGGGTAATACATGCAAAATAATTAGGTGATTGCCTATTATATAATGTTTAGTAAATGTAATGTGCTGTTATTAACTGGTCATTAATTAGTTTCTTTTTTTCTTTCATAATTGGTTTATTGGTTGTGTTGAGGATCAGTACACAGACATTTCAATTTGTTTGCAATTCTTAACATATATACTGAAAATCTAAAAAGCCATGTGTTATAATTTTTAAAGTTATTTCAGTAACTTTCCAGCTTAAAATTGGGAAGCAAATTTTCCATAAGAGGCTATCAAGTGCCAGTATCTTCACATGTTAGTAAGCTGTTACATAGATCTCACCAATTCACAATATAATAATATGGACTACATACTCAAATTTTCCGTCTTCCACAGCACATTAACAAAGTTAATTAGAAAAGCAGGACTCCTACTACCAAAGATGTTACAGTGCATACAATTATGACAGGGAGAGTCATGATCAAAGAGTGTGTTTCTTTAGGAAATAGTTCTACTAAAAATAATGTGGGAGTGAAAGTAATTTAAACTGTTCAGGACATTAAATGCAGGACCGTAACTCCATATTGCCATTTAATATGCTTTGTATTACGGGATATAAAAACTAACCCCCAACTATGGAATGTTAAGCTGACAAGACAGTCAAACTCTCCCATAATTCAATATCTCACACAAACTTGTGTTTACAAAATAGTTGATAACAGTATTCCTCTGGGTTGTACAAGAAGGGAAATAGGGACTACTGATAAGATGCAATGTATTATGATATTAGTTAAACTTGGCTGCTTTATCTCTGGTGTCATCAGAGGCTGGACTTTTCTCAGTTTTGGTTTCTTCGTTTTGTGCAGGTAAATTTCTTTAGTTTCCTGGTTGGCCACTTTGGCCTGTTTTCCCTTTGCTCCCCTTTTCCCTTTGCACTTTTTTGTCTGAAGATTTATCCTTTCCTGCTGCCTTTTTTAGCTTTGTTTCCACTTTTGCGGGAGCAAGTTTAGCTGACAACCTCATTGATTCCCTCTTAGGCTGTTTCTTCACCACCCCCGTGGCTGAGCTGACCTGTGGACTCAGGCTGCGCACAGAAGTAGCTGCCCGCCCTGTGTGTGCCTGGCCCACCCATTACTTAATTTCTAACAGTAATACATTTGTTTTAATGGAGCACTAATAACGTACAAATAAATTGTCATTTTCTTGTTAGACTTCTTTTCCCTCTGAGAACTTTACATTACAATTTTGAATGTGTTGCCTTTTGGGTCTTCAGGCCATGGGCTTATATGAAATATTAATGTTATTAATATGTGTCAGGCACTATAAAAAGCACTTTACATATATTAAGCCCATGTTGTAGGAATTATTAGTATTATTATTATTGCAGACTTTAATTGCTTGTCCGCCTATGCACGGTGTTACCTCTTTTATCTTTATGGGAATATTAAAGGAGAGAGTAGTATAAGATCCGGTTATTCCATGAGAGGTTGTTTAGTGAATCCTTCTGGTTGAGGAAAACTAGATCATGCTGGAGACTGTACCAACCAGATTCCCGTTGTTGCATCCTCTGACTGTGGAGATGATCTGTTGAGAAAGACAAAATGAGAATTTATCAGAAGGCTCTGCTTTCAGGTGTCCCAATAATTGAGACCTTTATCTCTGTATCTTATTGATTTTTGTCATTTACGTGTCTATTAACATGATCACTTTCTCAATAATAGCCGCAGGTTGAGGGGAGTATTTATTGTTTGATTTGGCTGAAGGAACTCCTAGATGCCAGACCATGGGGGAGCTTTGATTTAAGAGCACAAATGCTGTACATGGACGTTTTTGACATGTAGTCCAATTCCTGGAGTTTCAGATCTACATTTAGATTATGTGAGCTTTATTATTTATGTAAGGGTAAAGGAAAGGATTTGTAAGACATTTATTTACTCCTCTTATTTAATTTTGTGGTTTTGCAAACCTAGTGCAGTTTATTTTGTTTTTTTTTCTTAGAAATAAAGGAAATAATAAACTAGGATGGTTGTTAAGCTCCTTTCTGTGTGTGTGTGTGTTTTAGGTGGTATTAAAGATAATCAAACATTATCAAGAAGAAGGACAAGGAACTGAAGTTGTTCAAGGAGTGCTTTTGGGCCTGGTTGTAGAAGATCGGCTTGAAATTACCAACTGCTTTCCTTTCCCTCAGCACACAGAGGATGATGCTGACTTTGATGAAGGTAAGGGTGTTCATCACAAGTGTGTCTTTGCAGTGCATACAAATGGATATTAACACAGGTCTCACCATAACTTTTGATAAAGTTATGTGAGCTGAGAGTCTGTCAGGCCAGCCTACTTCACTTGATATCTGATACTTTGGGAAAATTATATAAATTCTGGGAAATGAGGGTTTATACCATAGACATCATTAGTTTGGCCTTTACTTATTTGGAATTTGTGATTCCGATTTGTAATAGATTGGATAGGAACTCTGCTGGTGTTGACTTTGTCAACCTGAAATCAGCTTACTAAATAAAGATTTGAGGGACAAAGATCATCCTTATGTGTCTGGTATCCATTCCCTTCTATCTTCTTTTGATTAAGTCAGTGTTTAGAAAGAGATGGAGTCATTTTCTGCTTCGGAAAGAAGATACTCCTCAAGCATTTCAGAAATATTCTGTTTTTGTACTATGGGTGTAATTGTTTCATTAGCAAAGGCTGAGAGTAGTTAAAAGCTCACATCAAAGGCTAAAGTCAGCATCTAAAAGATTTTTTAAAAAATCACGTTGAAAATAACTTCTCACTTATTTGAACTCTCAGGTTTCATTTTCTGTGTAACTTTTTATTGTGGTAAAAAGCACATAAAAATTTTAAGTATACGTTACAGTAGTGTTAAGTATATGCATATTGTGCAGTAGGTTTCTAGAACTATTTCATCTTGCAAAACTCAAACTGTGTATCCATTGAACAATCCTTTTTCCACCTCTTTCATCCCTTCATCCCCTATTCTACTTTTGTGTTTCCAAGAGTCTGACCATAGGTACTTCATGTTAGTGGAATCATGTGGCATTTATTGTTTTGTGAGTGGCTTATTTAGCATAATGTCCTAAAAGTTCATGCATGTTGTAGCAATGACAGGATTTTCTTCTTTTTACTTAACGCTGAATAATAATTCATCATCTGTATATACCACTTTTCCTTATCCAGCCATCTGTCGATGGAAGTTTAGGTTACTCCCACCTATTGGCTATTGTGAATAATGCTGCAGTGAACATGGTTGTGCAAATATCTCTTCAAGATCCTGTTCCCATTTTCTTTTGGGTACGTACCCAGAAGTGGTATTACATAGTAATTCTATTTTTAATTTTTTGAGGAACTTCTGTATGTTTTTTAGTAGCAGCTGCACCATTTTACATTTCCAACCTTGCACAAGGGTTCCAATTTCTTAATATCCTTGTCAACACTTGTTGTTTTCTGTGTGTTTGATAATGGCCATTTTAACAGATGTGAGGTGATCATCTCATTGTGGTTTTGATTTGCACTTATGATGATTACTGATGTTGAGGATCTTTTCATATGCTTGTTGGTGATTTGTATATCTTTGAAGAAATGTCTATTCAAGTCCTTTGCTTATTTTAAAATTGGAGGCTTTTTTTTTTCCTGTTGAGTTGAAGGAGTTCTTTATATTCTGGATATTAACCTCTTATCAGATATGTGGTTTGCAATATGTATTTTCTCCCGTTTTGTAGGTTGCCTTTTTACTATATTGATTGTTTGCTGGGCAGGAGTTTTTACATTTGATGTACTCAATTTATTTGCATCATCTTTTAACAGCGTTTTGTAGGTAACCAAAGCGTTTTACCTCTTTGGTTAAGTTTATTCCTAAGTATTTTATTCTTCATAATGCTATTGTAAATTGGATTTTTCTTAATTTCCTTTTTGTCATTTTCGATATGACTTTTAACTGATCACTTTAACTTTGATAGAATGTTACTTACTTCATTTGACTTCATACCTTCATAATACCTTGAGCATATGATAGACACAAAGTATATGCTTGCTAAAGTGAAATACCTTGCAATTTGTCTGCAAAACAGTTTTTCATTAAAGAATTCCTCTGGAAACTAACCAGGGCTACTTTTGTTCTAGGCACCTGAATACTAGCATACTTGGATTTTTTAAACCTTTATGCAGTGTGCATCTTTTTTTTTGTTTTTTCTTTAAAAAAAACTGGCTGTGCTCTCCCTATTTCATCTGAATTACCTCCCACAGAATTAAGGTTGAGATTTCTCTGCAGTTCATTCTGGCAGTATTAGAATATCTCTTTCTCTATACATGTACATATCTGGGGGTACTTAATTATATTTAAATAATCACTAGGGCTGGAAAAGAAGAGATTGTTAATACAGTTTCTTTGGTTTACAAGTGAGGAGTTTGAGAGGTTTAAGTTTTTTGTTTGGTTATTGGGTTGGTGGCACAGTTGAGAATAAAATCTATTCCAGAACAGTTAACACTGTCACACAGTTTTTTCAGGTAATTAATTTTTTAAATAATATTCTTGGTTTAGAATATGAAGAAATAATATTCATTGCAATTATGGTAGGGAAATGAAACAAAATATATTACTAATTCTAGATCATTGGAAACCAACTTCTTTTATGAGCCTGAAATACTTGAATTGACCAGTATGTTATTTCACGAACATGCACTTGATTTTTAAAATTTCTATAAGCTCTTTATTTTCAAACTCTTAAAAGAATGTTTATTTCAAAAGTTTCACATGGAGTAAGAAGCACAGATTATTATCCTAATTTTACAAATTGGAAAACAGAGAACAGAAGAATAACTGTGTGGATTTACGTAGGAAGACTTTGTGAGAATAGATTTTTTAAAAAAAATGATCATTTAGGGCCTTTTAACTGATAAGAAAAACAAAACCTCAATTCTTTGGTTTTCCTGCCAGTTTTCTCTGCTTCTTCACTTGGGTTAGAGAAAAAGCAAGTTCCAGAATATGTACTACATGCTGCTATTTGTGTGAAATTTTAAAAAATATAATACTACATACTGATAAAAGATACACATGTAGTAAGAGTATAAACATGTATGAGAATAATAAACACCAAATTCAGGATAATAGTTACCTCTGGAAGGGGAGGTATAGAGGGGACACAGAGGACTTCAGCTTTATTGGTAAAATTACTTAAGTTGGGTAGCAAGGACACAAGTGTATGTTATTTGTGTTAGTCCATTTTCATGCTGCTGACATACCCCACACTGGGTAAGTTACAAAGAAAAAGAGGTTTAATGGACTCACAGTTCCACATGGCTGGGAGGGCCTCACAATCACGATGGAACGTGAAAGGCACGTCTTACATGGCAGCAGGCAAGAAATAAAATGAGAACCAAGCGAAGAGGGTTTCCCCTTATGAAATCATCAGATTTTGCAAGACTTACTCATTACCATGAGAACAGTATGGGGGCAACCGCCCCTATGATTCAGTTATCTCCCACTACGCCCCCTCCCACAACATGTGGGAATTATGGGAGCCACAATTCAAGATGAGATTTGGGTGGCAACACAGCCAAACTGTATCATGCCACCCCTGCTCTTCCCAAATCTCATGTCCCCACATTTCAAAACCAATCATGCCTTCCCAACTGTCCCCCAGAGTCTTAACTCAGTTCAGCATTAACTCAAAAGTCCACAGTCCAAAGTCTCATCTGAAACAAGGCAAGTTCCTTCTACCTGTGATCCTGTAAAATCAAAAGCAAGTTAGTTCTTCCTAGATATGACGGGGCTACAGGCATTGGATAAATACACCCATTTCAAATGGGAGAAATGAGCCAAAATGAAAGGGCAGAATGCCCCAGGCAAATCTTGAAATCCAGTGGGGCAGTCAAATCTTAAAGCTCCAGAAGTGATCTCCTTTGACTCCATGTCTCACATTTAGGTCAAGCTAATGCGAGAAGTGGGCAGCTCTGCCCCTGTGTCTTTGCAGGGTACAGCCTTCCTCCCGGCTGCTTTCATGGGCTGGTGTTGAGTGTCTGCGGCTTTTCCAGGTGCATGGTGCAAGCTGTTGGTGGATCTACCATTCTGGGGTCTGGAGGACAGTGGCCTTCTTCTCACAGTTCCACTAGGCAGTACTGCAGTGGGGACTCTGTGTGGGGGCTTCAACCCCACATTTCCCTTTTGCGCTGCCCTAGCAGAGGTTCTACATGAGAGCCCTGCACCTGCAGCAAACTTCTGCCTGGACATCCAGGCATTTCCATACATCCTCTGAAATTTAGGCAGAGGTTCCCAAACCTCAATTCTTGACTTATGGGTACCTGCAGGCTCAACACCACATGGAAGCTGCCAAGACTTGGGGCTTGCACCCTCTGAAGCCACAGCCCGAGCTGTATCTTGGCTCCTTTTAGCCATGGCTAGAGTGGCTAGGTGCAGGCCACCACATCCCTAGGCTACACACAGCAGGAGGGCCCACAAAACCTTTTTTTCCTTCTAGGCCTCTAGGCCTGTTATGGGAGCTGCAGCTGTGAAGGTCTCCGACATGCCCTGGAGACATTTTCCCCACTGTCTTGGAGATTCGCATTTGGCTTCTCATCACGCAAATTTCTGCTTGAATTTCTCCTCGGAAAGTGGGCTTTTCTTTTCTATCGCATTGTTAGGCTGCAAATTTTCTGAACTTTATTCTGTGTTTCCCTTTTAAAACTGAATGATTTTAACAGCACCCAAGTCACCTCTTCAATGCTGTGCTGCTTAGAAATTTTTTCCACCAGATACCCTAAATCATCTCTCTCAAGTTCAGAGTTCCACAAATCATTTAGCAGTCTCTTTGCTAAAACATAGCGAGAATCATTTTTATTGCAGTTCCCAGCAAGTTCCTCATCTCCATCTGAGATCACCTCAGCTTAGATTTCGTTATCCATGTCATTATTAGCATTTTGGTCAAAACCATTCAACAAGTCTCTGGGAAGTTCCAAACTTTCCTACAGTTTTTCTGTCTTCTGAGCCCTTTCAACTGTTTCAGCCTTTGCCTACTATCTGGTTCCAAAGTTGCTTCCACATTTTTGGATATTTACAGTGGCACCCAACTCTTGGTACCAATTTACTGTATTAGTCTGTTTTCATGCCACTGATAAAGACATACCCGAGACCTGGCAATTTATAAAGAAAAAGAGATTTAAATGGTTCTACGTGGATGGGGAGGCCTCACAATCATGGCAGAAGGCAAAAGGCATG